AATGAGTTGGGAAGTATTCTTTACTATTTTCTCAAAGAGTTTGTGTAAAAAGGTATTTCTTCCTTAATGTTTGATAGAATTTCAGCTGGGCTATAGTTTTGTGTGATTTTTAAATTAAAACATTCAATTTTTTAACTTTTCAACTTTACCTTTTATCTTGTGTTGGTTTTGATATATTTTATTTTTTTCAAGGAATTTATGTATTTCATCTAAATTGTCAAATTGGAATAAAGTCCTTTGTAATTTTTTATTATGCTTTTAACCTGTAGGATCTATAATGATATCCTCTCTTTCATCCCTGGCGTTTCTCATTTATGTTTCCTTTTTTTTCCCATCCTTTGAAATTCACTGAGACTTGTTTTATGAGCCAGCGTACGCTCTGAGAGTGGTGACTGTTGCATGTGCACTTGAAAAGAATGAGGATTCTACTTTTGTCAGGGGAAGTGTTCTGTAAATATCAAATGGATTGACAGTTATCAAATCTTCTGTATCCTTACTCACCTTATACTTTCTCTGGCTCCAGCTCTGGAATCAGCCATTCCTCCAAGGACTCTTTTTAGTGTAGAATAGCATTTAGAAACCAAGATCTGGGGCTTTTGCCATGAGGGCATCATTGCTTCTGGGTCCTTTCAGGAGACAGAAGACATTTTTGCACACACACACATTTATAATAATTTCTAGGACTATCTGTATAAAAATTACATATTTATCATGAGTTATATTTCCAATTCCAACAACATTCTTGTATCCTTTCCAGCCTTCCCCCTTTCCATGTAAATGTCTTCTCAATGAGAAACTTGGTTCCTAATATCCTCAATATATTTAATTACTAGTGGCCTGGTGCACGGATTTGTGCACATTGAAAGGGAAATAATTAGAAGAAATATTTTAATATTGCTATTTGCCCTTTCTCCCTCAGCACCTGGGAGCTGGGTGGCAGCCCCACCCCCTGCCCCACCCCAGTGGCTGTCTGCAGAGTGATCGGGCCCCTGCTCCCACCTGCCTTGGCCTGGCCCTGCCCGCTCACCTGCTCAACCATCCTGCAGCCGAGGTCCCACTCTCATTGGGGCCCATTGGGACCGGCAGCACCTCCACTGCCACCTGCTGCCAGCACTGCATCACTGATGCCTGACATGTTCCGTGCTGCCCCCTGGTGGTTAGCGCATGTCATAGCAACTGGTCAAACTCCCAGTCTCCCGGTTGAACCACCGCCCGAGGGGACAATTTACATATTAGGCTTTTATTATATAGGATTTGCTCAACCAGTTAACTTATTTGCTCAATGTAGCCAATTTCCCACCCACTCTCTCCAACACCTCCCTTACTACCTCTGCACCCTCCTTCCACTGCTCTGTTTTCTCTGTCACCAAAGCCTCTGCATGACATCCTTCCCCCTTTCTCCCACATCCTCAGCCACCAGGGCATCCCACAATTGTCTCTGGAGTGTCCCTATCCCTCTGCCACGGCTCTTCTGGAACCCTGGGACATCCTGCTACTGTATTCTGTGTAGCATGCTCCTGCACAGCCCCTCCTCCTCCAATGCCAGAATTTCTGTGCCAGGAGGGAAAGAAAAAAGAGGATAGGAAGGGAAAAAATATAGAAAACATTTTTAAGGTCTTTTATATCTTTCCATCTACTTACTCTGTCTCTCCGGGGCTCCTCATTCTTCCCAGCAGACCTGGCCTTTCTTCTGGTATCATTTCCCGTCAGCCTGAAGAACATCTTTTAGGATTTCTTGTAACACAGATCTGGTGATGACAAGTCTCCAAGCCTTTTCTATCTGAAATGTTTTATTTTGACTTCAGACTTGAAGGATATTTTTAGAATTCTATTTTGACTTTTCTTTCACTTTCAACAATTTAAATGTGTGTTTCCATTGTCTTCTGGCCTTGATTGTTTTTCATGATATATGTGATGAGTGTATTTTTTCCTTTGGCTGCTTTTAGAGATTTTTTTGTATCTTTGGTTTTAGCATTTTGACTATATTGTGCATAAGTATGGCTTTTCTTTGCATCTGTCCTGCAGTCCTATTAACTTCTTAAATCTGTGGGCTAATGTCTCTTCAGGTGTTCTGAGACTCCATTTCAGTGTGTGTAGAGTTCCCCATATCAATAAGCAATTCTCAAATACCAGCAGAGTGCCTGAGAATTTAATTCAATTCTGACACTGTCCACCCAGAGATAGCTCCAGATTCCACAGGTTCTGGGCTCAGACCTACAAGACTGCATACCCACCCACCTCCACTTCAGATGCCAGTCACAGGCTATCACCTTACTTCTGACCAACTGGCTATAAATCAGAGGTTCCCACAAACCCCTCTCCTTGGGTTCTATTAACTTGCTAGAGTGAGTCACAGAAGGAAGAAAAACATTTTACTTATGATATCACCAGTCTATTATAAAAGGATATCACTAAGGAACAGCCAGATGGAAGAGATGAGCAAGGCAAGGTAGTGGAAAAGGGCATGGAGTTTTTATGCCTTCTCCAGGTGCGCCGCTCTCCCCAAACCTCCATGTGTTCACCAACCTGGAAGCTTCCTAAACCCATCCTCTCGCGTATTTATGGAGGCTTCATTATATAGGCATGATAGATTAAATTACTGACTATTGGCAATGCATTCACCCTCCAGCCCCTCTCCACTTCCGAGGTCGGGATGAAAGTAGGAATGAAAGTTCCAACCTTCTAATCACATGAGTGACTCTCTTGGCAACCAGCCCCCATCCTTACGTGCTTCCAAAAGACACCTTTATAATTCTCAACACTTAGAAATTACAAGGGCTTGGGGAGTTGTGAGTCAGGAACTGTGGACTAATACTACACATACCAGTATATGACAAATATATTTTGGTTATCTGAATGGCCAAATATACATTTCTTATAAATCATGGCATTGCAATGTCGTTCAATAATATTTGAAAATTATCAGCCATTTTCTTATTATATCAAAATTTAGAATAGTAACTTGCCCCAAATCACTATTCAATGATAAAACAGATTCAAACACAGAATTCTTGATGCTAAATTTCATGGTATTAACCATTATGCTATACTTGTTTATTGAAACAAATGTAGGTATATTAGTACTAGAATAAAATATTCATTTAGAAATTTAATGGAAATCTTCAAAGCTATACAAAAGCAGACAGAATATTAATATTAACTGAAATGCAGACTTTATGCAAATTTTCTTAGATTTCACCTAGTGTCCCTTTCCTGTTTCCAGATCCCATTTGGGATACACTTCACATTTAGTCATGATGTCTCGTTAGTCTCTTCTGGTCCTGTTTTTCAGTCTTGCCTTGTTTTTTATGGCCTTTGTGGTTTTGAGGAGCACTGGCCAGATATTTGGTAGAATTCCCTTAAATTTGTGTTGGTCATAGTAAGACTGGGATGATTGTTTTTTAGGAAGAAAACCACAGAGGTGAAGTACCCTTCTCATGGCATCATATTAGGGGTACATGTTCTTAGCATGACTTATTTCTGATGTTAACCCTGATCGCCTGGCTAAGGTAGTCTTTTCCAGGTTTCTCCACTGTACAGTTACTTTTCACCTGGTCTAAACCTACTCTTTGGAAACAAGTCACAGTGCAGCAAATACTCACTGTAGGGGACTAAGTTCCACCTGGACTGAACACCATCCACATAAGAAATCTGGAGAGAGAAAAAAAAAAGGAAAAAAAAAGAGAAGAAATCTGGAGAGACTCCCAATGATTTTAAAGGTTGAGAAGCACTGATCTAGTCAACTTTCACTTTATTCCTCTTGGTCTAGGGATAGACAAGTGAAAGATTCTGGAAAGATTTTCCACCTCAATAAAAAGAGAGCTACACCAGGGGGAAGTTTTTCCTTATTTTCTCTGCTGGCAAGTGGAGTCTTCCTTCCCTGTGTGGGCTGCTGGTGTGAATACAATAGCTTGGAGTGGCAGCCAATGACTTGTGATCATGAGACAGTAAGCCAGGAACCAACAGCCAACATGATTAGGATGGCAGAACAGAAGCAGGGTGAACACCTGGCGCTATGTCTCCAGAGTTCTTGTTACATTAGACAATTATACTTCATTGCTTAAGTAACTTCACTGGTGTTCTTCAAGTTAAAAGCATCACTGATACAGATGTCTCATCCATCTTTTCAAAACCTGTATCCTTTACATCTAGGACGTGGAAATACTTAATAATTAGTTTTTGAATGAATGAGTGATGGAATGAAGGAACTGAGTAACAGAATATCAATGTAACTAATGCCAGCATATTTGCAATTAGATTCTGTACTTCCATTTCTTTTCTCAAATACAATAAAGTTGTGTACATCCTGCCACTAGAGAAAAATTAGTATGAACACTTGAATAATGATGACCTTTTCTGAATTTGATGCTTATCAAATTCAAACTGAGGTTTAATGAATGTATACTTGATTATTTTTTAGGACTTATTTATTAACCAAAATATCTCGAGTGGTTGAATACCTACTATATAGCTATGAGAATGAAAAAACTACAGGTGGCCCTTGAATACAAGGAGTGAGGAGAGTGGTTAGGATCACCAAGCCCTGTGCAGTTGAAAATCCATGTGTAACTTTTGACTCTTCCAAAACTATTAATAGCTTCCTCTGGCTGGAAGCCTTACCAATAACATAAAGAGTTGATTAAAACATGTTTTGCAAGTTATATGTATTATGTACTGTCTTCTTACAATAAAGAAAAAAGATGTTACTACAAAAATCATATGGAGAATACATTTACTTTATTTATTGAAAAAATCCATGTGTAAGTGGACTTGCACAGTTCAAACCCATTGTTCAAGATCAACTGTATAACGTCACACAACAGAGCAGATCACTCTCACAAACATAATGCTGAGTAACAGATGCCAGACAGGAATACATGCTGCATGATTCCATCGATAAATAAATAAGCAAAACTATGATCAAAGTCAGCACAGTGTTGGTCCTTGGGTGTTTCTATGAAAGGGCTTTTGGGATGATGGTAACTGTTTCTTTCTTGATCTGGGTGTTGGTTGCATAAGTGTGTTCAGTTTGTGGAAATTCTGAGGTTTGTACATTTATGATTTGTGCATTTTCTGTATGTATGTCATACTTTGATTAAAAACTTCTCTGAAGTTTCTACGTGAAACAAAACTAACCATACTCACACTACAAAAACTCACAATTGTTAACAGGAACAAGAAAAATAAGCATCTAGGATAGACTGGTAATTAAAAGTCACATTCCATTATATTCCTAATGTATTAAATTATGATGAAAAAGGTAGGAAAACAATTTATATTTTAATAAAGGACAATAAAAAGTCAAATTCTAGCCAACTGTTAAAGTTTTGTGTTGTTTTTTTAATTCCAGGGTACATGTAAAAAAAGAAAACCACAGACACACACAGAACAGAACAAGAGTATCCGCTCAGGGGCTTTTTTCTGAACAAATGATGCCCGAGTCTTTCTCGCAGCATGCTTCTTAGCAAGTCTCTAAGTCTAGCCTGTCACATAAGATACTAAGTGATGAGTCTCTTGCATGTTACTTTTAATATCTAATATTTTCACTTCTGGGTAAGAGAAAAAGCATTTTGGTCCATTAATTCACCTACTCGCTCCTGGAGGACATTAACCAACTCTGCTATTACGAAGACATGCGTGTCATCAATGTCTTGAATGATGAACTTCTTCCCTAGGGCATTTGACTCATCCAAGTACAGCAGAAACTGCTTCATGGCAGGGTCACTGTAGAGGTAAACACATATTGATGAGAAACCTTATTGTCAATTTACACCAGAACCTGAGTGATTAGAATTTTGAGCACGTCGAATTTTTAGGGTTAAGTTAAAAATCCTAAACTCTCACTCCCACTCTGCCTTAAGTGTTAATGATTTATAGATGTAGCTTCATTTTAGAGCTGTAAGTGTAAGTGTAAGAGAAAGAGGCCAATAATATTTTGAAAAGAATAATTTGTCACTGACAAGTGAAGAAGTAATGTTCAAAGCTTTGTAGTTAATAGGGCCTAGAATCACAGCCTCCTTAACTGACTTTAAAAATTAATTTCCTTACTTGTCCACAACCATTACATTTAAAAAGCCAATAGCTTTTCACTACCTTGCCAGTGACACATTAATTTACAAAACCAGTTAAATTGTCACTTTATAAAGCAGGATACACAGCTAGAGTCAGATCTGGATTCAACCCTGGCTTTAGCACTTACTTGTGTGACCTTAAAATGTATCGAATCTCCCGAAACTCCAAGTAAACCTACATAACAGAACTGTTATGGAAATTAAAGGAGAAAAATGCCAAGGATAGTATTTGATCTGCAGTTGGTACTCAAGTATCTTCCCCTTCCTTAAAATTCTGAAGCTTATAAGTCTGAATTATCATTCAGAATCTTTAAAGAAAATTCTAACAAAATCTCTTTGTGAATGCTGAGCTCAAAGAAGAAATCCAAATTCAATTCCATTTATTTGTGGCTTTATTGTGGAATGAATAGAATAATCAGAAGGGAAAAAGGGATATAATTTTTTGGATTTACCGAAATGTGTCTTTCATCAAAGCCATGACAAGGGATGAGTATAGCTACAGAAAAGAGCCCAAGGACCACACCCTGGACAGCCCAACATCAAAAGGTTAAAAAGGACAGATCAGCCCTGATCGGTTTGGCTCAGTGGATAGAGCGTCGGCCTGCGGACTGAGGGGTCCCGGGTTCGATTCCAGTCAAGGGCATGTGCCTTGGTTGCGGGTACATCCCCAGTGGGAGGTGTGCAGGAGGCAGCTGATTGATGTTTCTCTCTCATCGATGTTTCGGACTCTGTCCCTCTCCCTTCCTCTCTGTAAAAAATCAATAAAATATATTTTTAAAAAAGGACAGATCAGCAAAGCAGATTATAAAGAAGTGAACACTGAAGTAGGAAGAAAGCATGAAGAGTCCTGGAAGCCAAGTGAACAAAGGACATTCAGGAAGAGTAAGTGATCAACTGTGCCCACTGCTATTAATAGGTATAGTAAGATAAGGACTGAGAATTGACTATTGGATTCAGAGTTGCTGGACTTGGCAAGGGCAGTTTTGGTGAAATCACAGAGGAGAAAGCCTGACTGAAGTGGGTTTCGGAAAAGAAAGAAATTAAAGAAAGTGAACACAGAAGGCCTTCCTGGAAATTGTGGTACAAAGAACAGGAAAATAGAGTGGGAGCTGCATAGGGATGTGGGAATCAAGTGTTTTCACCTGGGAGGGGAGAATAATAGTATGTTTGTGATGCTGATGGAAATGACCTAATGGAGAAAGAAAAGCTGATAAAGCAGGAGAAAAGAGAACTTCTGAAAAGGTGTTCTTAAATAGGCAAGAGGGGATGGGATCTAGTTCCCAAGCAGAGAAGAGTATATGGGCACAGACAGATCCATGTGGTAAAGACTAGTGGACATTCTCTTCTGATTTTACTTTCTCAGTTAATCAGGAAGCAAGGGCTCAGCTGGAAGCGAGGACAGGGAAGTTGTTTGAGATATGAGAAACTGAAGGTATGAAATACTATACGTCATCCATTCTAAGAACCATTTTTCCTCACACTTAACATCTTTAAAATTGGGACGAGTCTTACAATGAAGAGCATGTTATAGTATAATTGGCAGTGGTTTTTCTTAGAGGTACTTAAAATATTGGTAAGTTATAAAATCGATGAAATCTTAGATTTAATTGACTGTAAAAGCGTTACTAGGAGTGGGAAAAGTGGACTAGGAAATGTAGGTTTGCTGGCTAGCATTCAGGCTCCATGTGAGTTTATCAGACATAAATCTGAAGTGAGACTAATTAGTATGTTTGTATGTTTTTCTCCAGCCACTGAGAGTTATAGAGGTAAAGGCTCAGAGAGGGTGAAGAGCTGAATTTTACCAGATTTGGTGAGTGTGACAGAAGGGAAAGGGAGTCGAATGTGTCTTTGAGAGAACAAGTATTTGATGGGCTGTGGAACATAAGCTGGGAAAGGAGGAGAGTGAGATGTTGGGGTGGCAAAGGACAATGAAAAGGTGGGAGAATCAACAGACTGTATATCTGTAGAGTGGAGGAAATTATGGAGATATGGGGCATTAGAGGGAGTGAACAGGAAAGGAGGGGGTTGCCAGATGCCTACAGTGGAGACTTTGGAGATGGCACTATGGGTAGGGACAGAGGTAGGTCTGACTATGTGAATGAGTGACTGCAACTGGGTGGAGGGTAAGCTTACTGGAAGAGGTCAGGGAACTGAGAGGACATGGTATTGAAAGGACTGACCCCATGGACATCAAAATCACTAAGAACATGACAGGACAGCTCCTGGAGAGTGACCGGTAGTCTTCAGAGAAAAACCCTCAAGAAAAGATCTGGGTGTTTGTGGATTATTCCAAAGTGGGTGGTCTGGTCTGATGGTATGAGATTCAGAACTGGGAGTTACTACGGAAGAGGGGAGAATTCCTAGAAGTGGCAACGAGGAGTAAGGTAGATACCTATCCCATTCCTGACCCAATGGTACAAGAGGTATTAGAGAAACAACTCAACACTTGATAGGGTTGTGGGAGCAGTGCACTCAGGAGAAAGCCAGGTTTTGGTATAGCCCAAAGGAGAGGGGGCCTGGGGAAAGGAAGAGGAAAAGTTCAGAGAAGAGGCTGAGGGGGTTCTGTTGCTCTCTCAGGTTCTAGAGGGCAAAGTGGAAAGGATGGTGAGGAGATGGAATTAATAAAGCGGATGATACAGCCATAGACAATGCGTGTAAAACGGGTGAGGGGTGACAATGGAAGTATGTGGCCTTTTGGGGGACTGAAAACAAGAAAGGATATAAGGTATAAGAATGAGGGTCTCCTGACAGATAGTGACACTGAGACTGAAAGGCAACAACAGCCAGCGATGGATGGGAGAGAGAATGGAGGTCTTTGACAAAGATAGCTAACGTAATGAAGGAATGAGGTAGGGTGCCTGAGGCTTCAGAAGGGAGCTATTCACTAATTAGATGTTTGTCTTGCCCTACAGATAGGTCAGAAAAGGTTATTTCTGGTGATAATTCTTATTATGGGCAAGGCCCCTAATTTAAATTCCTCTATGTAAGTAAGCGGGGGCAAAAGTTTCTCTTGAGCCCGCAGGATCTCGACTGCCTTTAATTCAAAATACTCTACATACCCCAGAGGCACACCTTGGGGTGACTCATTCTGAACCCCTACACATGCTATCCTTGCTACTTACCAGCCATCTCCTGTTACACTTGCATTACACATTACTTAATAGTTTTCTTTAAATTGCTTTCAAATCAACTTTTAAGCTTAACTTCACCTGGTACAAATCACCAGTATTTTGATGTGCTTATTTTTACCTCAAATAAATTAAACTTGTCATATAAAAACTAATTTTGTGTTCTAATTCCCTTCTGCCCCCAAATGTGTGTTCTCCTACCAACCATCTTGAACACCAGTGGTATCACTAGGAAACTGCTGACAAATGAGATGACTTAACCAGACCTGAGGCCCTGAACCTAACTGTCCCCTATACCTGGGCTCCTGAGCATTAAAGAGAAAAAACCAACATGATATAGAAAAATGTTAGTTACATGCAAACAAGTGGTTATAGTAAGATGGAACTTGGAGACATTGTAGAAAATAGGTCTACCTTTCATCTAGCGCCAATATTCCACCTTTTGTGTGCCAACCCACCTAGGAGGATGAGCCTTGGTTCACACAGAGGTACTTCTTGCAAAGTGAGCACCAGATGTTGCTCTTCACCTTCTTGCATGGATTGTCTTTGTAAGACACTCCAGGATTTTGCTTGTTGTACCTGGAGTGCTTTTCCATGCACAGAACACAGATATGATTAGACGATGTCCCAGGGGGAATCTCTGGAAAATGATTGCCTGGGGTCATCCGTTGAGGGCAGGGTTCCTTTTGTGGGTGGCGGTGGGCTGATGTCCTGTATCCACCAATAAGTTGCAGGCACAGTTTCTGAATATATCTGGAGAAATAAACTGGCTTTTTAAAAAATATATATATTTTATCGATTTTTTACAGAGAGGAAGGGAGATAGTTAGAAACATCGATGAGAGAGAAACATTGATCAGCTGCCTCCTGCACATCTCCCACTGGGGATATGCCTGCAACCAAGGTACATGCCCTTGACCGGAATCGAACCCAGGATCCTTCAGTCCACAGGCCGACGCTGTATCCTCTGAGCCAAACCGGTTTCGGCAAAACTGGCTTTTTTGAAGCAGCTTGCTGCTTTGAAGCATACAAGATATAAGAATTATAACTGGCCCACATAAAAAATTTTATGAGAAGCCGCAGGGGCCAGCGGTAATGACGATGAGACTGGTGAAGGCAGGTCATCTGGTCGTTTTTGTCACAGCCACCCATATATTTATTATAGTCCTTCACCAGCTGTGGCATCTGTATTTCTTGCACACTGCCATCTTTATTTCTTCTGTTTATTACTACATTTTGGGCTGGATCGTGGTAGTTCGAAATAAATGTGATGGGCTTTCTATCTTGCCAAACTAAGCATGTTACACTTTCTTGACATAGATAGCGACTGTCACCCCTAGCAAGTTTTTTTACACTTTTCAGTGACTTAGGAAACTGCTTCCTGTTTTGCTGCAGGGTTCCCACAATTCCTGTGTGTAATTCTGACAGTGCGTATTTAGCAAGGGTTAGAGTGGTAGAACCGGTCCATGACAAGCACATGAGATTTATTTTCTTTTGCACATGAAGTCAGGAAACGAACGACTGTATTTCCTACTGCACCCAAGTCTTTTATAGGTATTGGTGCAGCACCGGTGTAGATTTCTGCATTCAGAATGTAGCGTCTCACCTTCACAGAGAAGGAGACTTGATGCCCCACTTTGTGGGCGTATCTTTGATATACTGCTTGATGGCCAAGCCGTTTTTTGTCGGGATCATCCCCTCATCTAGGCTCAAATGTTGCTTTGGCAGATAAAAGGGGAGAAACTTGGGGAGCAGACTTTCCAAGAAAGGCCTAACTTTATATAATCTATCTGTCTTATTGATATCTGTGTCTTCCTCATCAATTATGTGTAAAAAACTCCAAAGGACCAAGAATCTGTCTAGAGTCTTAACATTTCGAAATCCGGGAGTAAACCCAACAAAGTCAGAGCCCTCATTTGTCCAATAATTCCAATAGCTGGGCTTTATACATAAGTATTCCATATAGATCCTCAGTCCAAGAAAAGCCTTCATTTCTTCCACTGTGGCATCCTTGAAATTTTTGGCATTGTAGGAGTTGGGCTTTGCTATATGCAATTGGTGGGCCCGGAGGTTGGTTTTCTCTGTCGAATTTTGCCAGAAAGTATCATCCAAAAACAAGGATAAAAAGTCAATTGGTTCACTCTCCTCTGTGATAGATCCAGGAATGTTCACTGGGCCTTTTCCATCCTCAGTGAAATTCAGATCTGTATTTGGTGATACAAAATTCCTTGTCCAACCTTCATTACCACCTAGATCTCCCCCATCAGCTGTTTGAGGGACACGCCCCCCTTCTCTTACTATCGATCTAGCTCTAGATCTATAAGGTTCAAGATTTTCCTCATCACTCGAGCTCTCACTGTCGTGTCACTTGAACTGGAAAAGTATTCTTGATGAAATTCTGACTTCTCAGAGTCTGAATCAACCAAAGTATCGATCACCTGTTGGACTGTGATAAGCCTAGACCTACTTCGCTTTCCTGTTGAAGTGCTTGGTTCATCAGCCGCTCGTTTCATTGTGAATTTTCAGAATTTTTTCACGTCAAACCACACAAAGTCAATTTAAACACATGGGGGCAGACATTTGCAATGGCTAACTAACCATGAGGTTTGACCACGATTGGTTGGTTATTTTTAGTTTGCGACACATTTTTTTCACATACTAG